AAGAGTGCCTGCCCTAGAGTCAGGAAAACTCATCTTCCTGAGTTCAAATCTAGCCTCAGACACTTACTAGTTGTGTGGCTCTGGGCAAGTCACCTAACCATGCTTGCCTCAGTTTCCTTATCTTAAAATGCTTTGGAGAAGGAAATGGAAAACCTCTAATGAGGAATGAGAACAACTGAACAACAACAACACTGAAATAGACTTCCAAATCAAGAAAGGTAAAGGACCCATAAGTCCTGTCACAGGGGCTATAAAGTTCTCATTAAAATAATATCTTACTTTGTTGTTCTTAAGTTGTTTTCTTCAGTTTTTCTTACTAACCATGATTAATTCAGGAACAATTTGTAGACAGCCTGAATTATAGAATTTTTTTAAAAGCTCTCTGGCTATTTAGTAATATGTTAAATTGAATTAACATAAGCCACTGGTTGAATGAAGGGTTGAGGTTTACCTGGTCTACTTTAAAGAATAAATAAGACATTTTTCATTCATTTTTAATCAATTATTTGAAAATATGTAAAACTGTGGTGCTTGAAGTCTAACCTACGTAATTAAGAGGGGAAAAAAACATTCTGCCTGGTAGTCCTATACTATTAATTGGCTTAGCTTGGCCTTTCTACAGGGGGAGAACAAAGGCATACATCACCCAGCACCAGTCAAAACACCATGAATTCTGAATCAGGGTAGTCCAAGTTAATGGTTCCTTATTTAACTGTAGCTTCTTAAAGAATATTAACAGGGCCTCCAGGCGGTTCCTGGGTGGGGACTATAAGAAGCCAGAAAGCTTGGAATATGCCTTAGCATATCTGAAGCTGATAATCGTTTGTTGTTCTTTTTTTGTTTTTCCAGTCATATGCAACTCTTCATAACCCCATTTGGGGTTTTCTTGACAAAAACACTAAGTGGTTTGCCATTTCCTTCTCCAGCTCTTTTTACAGATGAGGAAAGTGAGGCAAGCAGGGTTAAGTGACTTGCCCATGGTCACACAGCTAGGAAGTGTCTGAGGCTGAATTTGAACTCAGGGCTTCCTGACTCCAGGACCAGCGCTCTATTCATTGTGTCACCTATCTGCCCAATCATGTAGAAGAATAGGTGAGTATTTGGGCAGTTTCCATGCTGTTCCCAGAATGACAAAAAGAAAGTGTGAAGATATTACAGGAATAAGTTTTATTTTAGGTTATACAATAATAATTATAGTAAGCATTTATATAAAGCATTTATATAAGAACCTATGGTGTCTCATTTACCCTTACAAGAACTGTATAGGGGCTATTATTATCCTCATTTTACAGACAGGGAAACGAAGACTGAAAGAGGTTATGTGATTTCTCCAGGGCCACAAAGCTAGTCAGTATCTGAGGAGGAATTTGAATTCAGGTCTTCCAGACTCTAAGCCCAGCACTCTTACACATTGCACCACCTGTCACCTGACACTGTCTCATCTTGACATGTGGCACAGACACAGAAGGAATTTTCACATAACTAAGGAAAACATCTTTAATAATTCATACCTTTGACAGTTAATTCTTGCTGCCAAAGATCCATAAATACAGGAAAAAATTGTGATTTTTGTCTTCAAAGGAGACTCCTAATGCAGGGAATCACTTCTCTGGGGCAGATTGCAACCTATGTATATCTTGAAACTATTTAAACTCTAAGGAGTAGCATGAAGCACAAGAAGTTAAGTAATTTACTTAAAAGCCACATAGCTAATTGTCACAGTGGACATTGAACTGATGGGGTTGGAATCTGAGGCCCAGAAAGGAAAAACTCTGGCCCTGATGGGGTTGGAATCTGAGCCCCAGAAAGTAAAAACCCTGGACTTTCCCACATGGCCAAATCTCTGGCGTTCCCCTGAGGCTATAGTCCCATCAACTATGGGCCCAGACCACTTCCCACCTTTGGTCCCACCTAGGCTCCATTTCCCACCCTTGGGAATTCTATTACCTCATGGACTACTTGGCCACTCTCCCACAGTCTTTCTGTATATAAGGTCCAACTTGTCTGCATTAAGATGCTCAGATTTTTACAATCTAGCCAATAGCCCATAGATGCTCAGACTCCTTACGAGTCTAGCTAATATGGCGAATCTTCAATAAACTTTGTTTTTGGCTGCAAGAAGGCTTGGGTAGAATTCTTTCAGACAGGACCCAGGTATCATGATTTTGGGGTGCCAGGACCCCTAATCTCTAGACCACATCAGAACTAGTTCCTCCTGATTCCAAAGATGCTCTTGCTAATATTTTTCAATATTCTTAATATTCCTTAGTTTCTTCCATTGCTTCTGTCCAGAATTCATGATGCTACCTCTACAAGCATAATACACCAATATATTCTCCCCTTATTTACCATCTCCTAAAATCTGTTGTTTTGGGGCAGGCACATGGCAGAGTAGATAGAATGCAGGTCCTGGAATCAGGAAGACTCATCTTCCTGAGTTCAAATCTAGCCTCAGACTCTTACTAGCTGTGTGACCCTGGGCAAGTCACTTAACCTTGTTTGCCTCAGTTTCCTCATCTGTAAAATAGGCTGGAGAAGGAAATGGCAGTATCTTTACCCAAATGGGGTCATGAAAAATCAAACACAACTGATACAACTGAAAAAATAACAAATAGAAATATTTATTAAATATTAAAGTACTATATGTATTTCTTTGTTTGTTTGAATTGCCACTTATGGGTTTATCAACCATTCTGAATTAAAAAGGACAGAAAAAAATTGATCCTAGGCATATGTCCACAGAAAGGGAACCAAAATAAACCGCTCCTTCCTCAAAAAAAAAGGGGGGGGGAACAACCCTCAAATAAAAAATATCAATTCCTAAAGAGTGGTTCTTATTTTTACACCTTGGCCCTAGCTAATAAATCCTGAGCATTTTACTTAAGATCACTTGAAATACCTAATACATCACAAAAGTAAAAACAAAAATACCGAAAGCCTGGATTCTAGTTATGGTAGATTTAGTCTGCCATATCAGTAGCACAGGAATAAATGTAAAGTCTTAACAATTAGGTGCAAAAAAATCAACTACAAAAGTACAAGATTGGAAAGGTATATAGTATATAGGCAGTAGTTGTTTTAAAAAGTGGAGTTTAATGAACTCCACATTCAACATGAGTCAGTAATATCATGTGGCCAGAAAAAAAGTTAATGCAACCTGGACTACCTTAAGACAGACATAATTTCCAAGAGTAACATTAATGTACTCTGCCTTTGTCAAAACTCATTTGGAGTATTTCATTCAAGGCACCACTGTTTAAAGACACTGACAACCTGTAGAGTGTCCCAGAAAATGACAGACAAATCAGGATGGTGAAAAGTCTTGAGTCCATGTCATGTGAGGATAAGTTGAGGGAATTAAGCTGAAGAAGGGCATGCTGGTGAGAGGAGGCAGGGTGGGAAGAGACACATGATAGCCAACTTCATATCTTCAAAGGAAGGATACCCCAGAGGGTAGAACCAGTTGCAATATTGTTTGTCCTTTGTTCTAGAAGAGGACCAATGACATCATGAGAGTAATGTGTTGACTTGCAATAGATGGTAATTAAAAGAGGTAAATTTTGGCTTCCCAAAAAACTTAGAGCCCTTTAAAAGTGGACCGGACTGTCTTAAGAGGTAGTGGATGACACTTTCTTGAAGGTCTTCAAGCAAAGGCTGTATAACCACCTAATGAGTATGTACTACTAGAGCTTCCTTTTGTGTATGAGTTGGATTAGATGGCTGCTGAGTTTCCTTGCAACTCTCAAATTCTGTGATTCTGTGATACCACAGTGTTTCTGTACTAGATACTAGAGCATTTCTGTCCAACTTGGGCTCCATACAGGAATCAGTCAATCTAAGTTGTAGTCTTAGCTGTGCCAACAACTAGCTCTGAACAAATCCCTTTATCTCTCTAGGTCTCAGCCTCTTCATTTCTAAATTGAAGACATGGATTTAGGGTATTTCAAGGTTTTTTCTAGCTCTGAAATTCTACAATTTCATAAATTAAAATGATGGATTATGAATTAGCCATATCTTTTCCACTTCTTAGTTAATTCTTGGATTCCGTGTGCAAGAGCCACAGGAAACAAAGCCTGGCTCAGTGAACTATGATTTAATGTTTCTTTTTATTCCATCTAATTTTAACCCAATCCTAATTATGTTGCTTGTTTCCTATGCATTTTATATAAGGGATAAGTTTCTTCTTCAAATCAAAACTGTCGTCTGGTTTAAATACTGTAACAGTTGGAAGGAAGAAATTGACCAAAAATCTCAAAGTAGAGTAGAAGAGGTACCAAAGAAAATAATATTAATACTGTACTCTGAGTTTTAGATATAAGTATACCAGAAACTATTTTATTTAATTTAACATTAATGTAATACCCGGGTATTTCTGGATTAGAAAAAAAGAGATGTCCAAAATGGAATAATTTACCTATGTTCTCTAACATGCCTCTCTCCCTCAAGATGACCTAAGGTAAACATTTATAGCAATCTTGAAAAAAAAAAGATCATAACATGTTAAAATACAGTCTTAAGGTTAGCATTTAAGAATTTTGAGTAACAAAATCATCCCATTTCTCCGGGACCATTCCCCACTTGGAATCAATGGGACTCCTCAGAGAGACCAGTAAGGAGAACTATTCTGAATAGAAGAGAATGAATTCATCTGAATAAGAGAAGAAGGTGTTTATTCCCCTTTGAATTGAATCTAGGGCACTTCCTTGGGCAAATTCACCTCAGGGAATAAAGAAGAGGAAATTGCCCTTCAGATGGGTCAAGAGCTTCACTTCAGGGGTAGGCAAGGCAATATTCTCAGTGAGAGTTATTCTTTGTTCTAAACTTTGGTTACCATCCTTAATGTATTTCCCTAAGAAAGGCCTTTTTGTCCTTGACCTAACCAGCTTCTGAAGGGAAAGTATACAAAGAGTATTTTTAGACCAGAAGAATATTATTTAATATTTCAAGAGAAGCTAAAAAAAAGGTTTTCAATATGCTTCTACAAGAGGGCCTGAACTTACCATTTCCTTCTTATCTTCTTGGAAGTGAACATCCACAAACATTTTTCCAGCAACATAAGGAAGGGCACTTTCAATGAAATTTACACATTTGTCCCACTGAGGTAACAAAATTGTAGTCCCTTGGATTACCTGTTGAAAATAAACATGGATATCCCTTTGAAAAAGTTACAGACTAGAATAACACAACCCACCACATCAAAAAAAAAAAAGAAATGCAGGATCTCCTAGACATAAGAAACGCCTAGCATATAGCCAAATTACATGATTTTTCCCATTGGTATTTTCAAAAATGCCTCAAGATCAAGAAATACTTCAAATCTCCTTTCAAGTGCAAAAGGCTTATGTCTCATTTTAAGAGTGAAGTTTTTTTTTAAACTATTCTATCACAGCTTTAGCTATCCATCCATATTATTCTGATCAGGTAAGTCAGTTAGTCAGTCATTCTATATCATTGATTTTTTTAACTGATTTGATCCTTCTACAAAGTTTGCAAATTTGGTGTCATTGCATAAATAACTGCTCTCTTTTGCCCTCAAATCTTCTACAGGCAGCAGGTGCCCTCTCCCAGATCATTCCATATCTCCCCAACTTTAGTCAAAACCTTCTCTCAGAAAAGATTCCGTAAGGTAGAGGTAAGGTGGAGGAGAGGGAAATTATTCAACTAGCTCTAAGAGGTAGTATTATTAATGGATTTGTATCCACTTAGATGATATTTTCTACCAGAGTTTTATCTTTCACCCTGTTCTGTTCAACATTTTTATCACGTACTTAAATGATGGCATAGATGATGTGCTTTCAAATCTGCAGATATCATTAAGCTAGGAGGAACAGCTAATACATTAGACAATGGAATCAAGAGCCAGAATAGCTCAGCAGATTACAACAGTGGGCTGAAACCTGCTCTTGATCTAAGAACTAAAATTTAGTAAGGATAAAGTCCTAGTAAGTTAGGTTTTGGTTTGGTTTTGTTTGTTTGTTTGTTTGTTTTAAAGCAACAGTACAAGAACAGGATAGGGGAGATATCACTATAAAGAATTCCATGTGAAAAAAAAAAGATCTAGAAGTTTTAGTAGACTACATGCTTGATATGGGGCAGCTAGGTGGCACAGTGGATAGAGTACAAGGCCTGAAGTCAGGAAGACCTGAGTTCAAATGTGACCTGACACTAGCTGTGTGACCCTGGGCAAATCACTTAACCTTTTTGCCCTCAGTTCCTCATATGTAAAATGAGCTCAAGAAAGAAATGGCAAACCATTCCAGCATCTATGGCAAGAAAGCTCCAAATGGGGTCCCGGAGAGTCGGACACGAATAAACAACAACACATGCTTAGTATGAGTTCTTAGAGACACATGGCAAACAAAAAAACTAATGCAATTGTATACTTAATATTTTAAGTATGGGTGGATTTTTTGGTGTGGGCACTGCCCCTAAATGAGGTCAAGAAAAATTGGACACGACTGAAATGACTCAGCAACAACACTGCCTCTACTGATGCAAACCACAACTCCAAAACACCTCTGCAGTCAGCCTTAATGACTTTTAAATGACTTTTAAAGCCTCAGCTTAAAAACATATATACATATTAGCAGGTTATCATCCCTTTGGTGATGACTCTCCAAACTTAGTTAAGCTTGGCATCCAATGATTTATCTTCAGTCCAGTCTGGGGCTGTGTTTCAGATTGTCAGGACCTTACCACATTACACTTTCCCTGGCATAGCCTCCAAAAGAGCAAGGTCACCTTCGCTCCTCAGATACAATCTTCAGTTTCAAGTCCAAAGAGTCGATAGCGGCATGGCTGCCGAAAGAACTAATGTTGTCTTAGGTTGCATTCCTAAAGGCATAGTTCCCTGACCAATGGAGATGGCAATGTCACTGTACTGTGCCCTGGTACGCCATCAGCTTCTGCCCATTTCCAGGTATCACACTTCAGAAGGGATATTGATAAGCCAGAATGAATCCAGAGCTGGAGTAAATGATCACTTATAATTCTGATTCCTCTGAACCTGAATGGTGAGGGAACTTGAATGAAGAATGAAGACTGGCTGAAGGAACTAGAGATGTTTAGCTGTTTAGGAGAGGAGACGATTTACCAATCTAAAAGACTGGTACACAGAAGAGGGTTTGGACTTGTTCCACTTGGTCTTACAGGACAGAAATATGACCAATGAGGGGAAGTCATAGAGAAACAGGTTTTAATTCAATATAAGAAAAGTGCCCTAAAAATGAAAACTACAGTTGGAATACCTTATTTTCGAGGATACTGAATTATTCATAACAATGATAATCATAGCTACCAAGAACTACACAGTCCACAAGGTGCTTTCCAAAGTGTAGAAGAGTAAGGATTATTTACAAAGTGCCTTCCCCACAAACCTCTGAGCCACATATTACAGAAAGGTTATCATTCTTACCTTGCAGATGTGTAAACTGAGGCCCTGGGAAGTTAAATGGCATGACTATAGTTACAAAGCGAGGCAGAATCAAATGTAGGATTTGAACCCAGATCTTCTGACCACTTAATGACCACTGCTTTAGATCACATCAGAAAACAAGATTATACAATGCCATTCTGGAAGCTTATCACCACTAGGGGCAGTTAGATGGTGCAGTGGATAAAGTACTGGGCCTAGAATCAGGAAGATTCACCTTCCTGAGTTCAAATCTGGCCTCTGACACTAGCTGTGTGACTCTGGGCAAGTCACTTCACCCTGTTTGCCTCCATTTCCTCTTCTGTAAAATAAGCTGGAGAAGGTAATGTCAAACCACTCTGGTATCTTTGCCAAGAAAATACCAAATGGGGTCACAAAGAGTAAGACACAACTGAAAACAACCCAACAACAAAAATCATGACTTTGTCTTTTTTCCTTTGACCAGGAGAAAGTTCACCCCCAAAATATAGATAGATAGATGGATGGATAGATAGATAATAAATATACATATATGTGTATATGTGTCTGTGTGTGTGTCCATGTATGTATGTGTGTGTATGTGTTTTACAATTTCCAGTCTTTTACTTTGAGTTGATGTAGCAGAAACTGTGTTTCTCAATTTGCGTCAATCCTGCTGAAAATCAGCAAAAAAAAAAAAAAAAAAAAAAAACAGAAAAAATGCACACTATTTTGATTCAGTAGGATTTGAAGTCTCTAAGCTTCAAGTTCATTAGTGGGTATAATAGAATCATAGGATGTTAGAGGTCATCTAGTCCAGCATCTTTATGTTAAAGAGAGGAAACTGAGGCCCAAAAAGACAGTGACTTGCTCAAGGTTACATAATGAGGCATTGGTAGGGTGAGCACTTGAATTCAAACCCTGTCTCCTTATCTCTTCATTATTGTGTGCTGCATGGGTATACACCTTAAGGCTACCTCACAATGAAAACCAAATTGGTTGTTGTTCAGTCATTTTTCAGTTGTGTGTAACTCTTCATGACCCTATTTGGGCTTTTCTTAGCAAAGATATTGGAGTGGTTTGCCATTTCCTTCTCCAGCTCCTTTTACAAATGAGGAAACTGAGGCAAACAGAGTTAAGTGACTTGCCCAGGATCACACAGCTACTAAATGTCTGAAGCCAGATTTAAATTCAGGAAGATGAGTTCCTGACTCCAGGCCCAGCACTCAATCCACTGCTCTACCTAGCTACCCATATTCCAAATATGGTTCACTATATGCCTTTAAAACAGCAAATCTGGTAGATCACTTGAAAAACATTCAGTTCTTCACCAAAGTAATCATTATTCTATGAAGACATGTGTTATCTTTCAAATCATCCACTAAAGAGGATTCTCCTTTCTTTAGTCTCTATTCCCCCCAATCAATCAATCAACATTTATTAAGCACCTACTATGTGCTAAGCACTGAGGATACAAATACAAATAAAAACAAAGATAGTCCCTGCCCTCAAGGACCTTACAATTTAAATCTTCCCTTTAATATGAGTCATTGAGAAAGAGCTAGCCACCACCACTCCAAGCTCACATCACATCAAAGGAACAAATCAATAACTATTAAGTCAGATTAGGATTTTTATGTCTGCCTGTTTTGCATAAATAAATATGATCTCTATTTTATGCAATCTGTTATGTGTATCACATATCTATATTTTCCTTATAAGTGACCATGTAGGGAAATAAAATTGTGTTAAAACCACTATGCACTTAGTGACTTATTTGGAAATCCACCTTCGCATTTGAACATTTCCACAGACTATCTCATGCTGCCAAGAGTCTGGAACAAGTTTTAGCTCTGATTCTTCCTACTATATGCTATTGGTCAAGTAACTTCATGAGTCTCAGCTTCATTTACTGTATCTGTAAAATTTGGATCACAATGCTTGTACTCTCTTTGCATTACTACCTTCACAGAGGAGTTTAGAAAAAGCACTTTATAAACATTAAAATGCTATAGATGCGTGAGTTATTATTATTATGTAAATGATAGTTAATATTCTTATTTTACTTAGAAGCATAGCAAAGTAGAGAAAGAAACTCAAAGTTAGGAAGTTCTGAGTTCAAATTCCACCTCTGATCTGTACTATGTGTGTGTGACCATGTCACTTCTTGTTGTTCAACCTTGGTTTTTGAAAAAGACCAATGACATCACAGTCAGGGTATGGATGGTATGCTTGGCTGTGACTGATCAGTCCAATAAGAGTTTGGAAGGCACTGTCATAGATTAGGCACATTGAGAGTAGAAGTGGCTCTGAGTACATGCAGCTCACATTTTTTTACATCACTTAACCCGTTTGTGTCAGGCAACTTTCTATAAATATGTTACAGACAGGTTGTGTTCTGCACTGCCTCAAACACTTACTAGCTATGTGACCCTGGGCAAGTCACTTAACCTATTTACCTCAGTTTCCTCATCTGTAAATGGGGATAATAAAAGCACCTACCTACCTACTGGGGTTGTGGTGAGGAACAAATGAGATAATTAATTATAAAGCACTTTGCACAGTGCCTGGCACACAGTAAATGCTATATGTTATTATCATTATTATTATTACTGAAGGAGGGAGTTAACTGATGTATTGTACTTGGTGTGGGAAAATTATGAATGTTTTGACTCTGACCCTGCATGGCAAAAGACCAGATTGTTTTTATGATTTAATCCAGGATGTCCAGAACTCAAA